AGGGGTGCTTTAAGTTTACTTGGAGTTACTACTGTAAATCCATTTTTTTGTGTTGGTAATTTGAAGATATTTGCAATGTATGATGTACCTCATTTGTTCAAAAGTATTAGAAATAATTGGTTAAATGGAACTTTTAAACTATGTGGAAAATATATTTCATTTGATGTTATAAAAAAACTTTTCCGCATCGACAAAGCTTCAGGAACTGCTAGAGCTGTTCCCAAACTTTCTGAAAAACACTTAAACCCTAATAATTTTGAGAAAATGTCATGCAGCTTAGCATTGCAAGTATTTTCAAATACTGTAGCTGCAGCAATAAAAACATGTGTAGCAACAGGACAGATGTATAAAGAAGCCTTGGATACTGCTGAATTTGTGACAAATATGAACAATTTATTCGATGCGCTTAACAGTAAAAGATTGTATTCGAAAAATCCATTTAACTGTGGGTTAAGTGATAAAAACCCGCTTGTTCGAAACACTCTTGAAATGGGAAAACAAATCTTTCAATCCCTCATCAAAATAAGTATAAAAAATACAAGACCACCTAAAAACTTAAGCCCCACTAAAAAAATGAAAATAAATGATGAAGTAAGAGAAAGTAGGCCTCCCTGTTTTGACGGTTTTGTGCAATCCATAAACGCAATTTTTGGATTATTTGATTCAGAAAAACCAACTAATAGGTTCCTCTTAACCAACAGATTAAACCAGGATCATCTAGAAAATTTCTTTTCAATTATAAGGCAACGCGGTGGATGGAATTTGAATCCATCCGCTAAAACATTTAGGTTGTCTTTTAGAATACAGACAATTACAAGTCTTCTTTGTCCATCAAAATCCGCTAATTGCGAAGAAGACTTTGACACCCAATTTCTAATGCCATGTTCTAGCAATGTTCTGTCAAAAAATACCACATATAACAATTGCAGAGATAGAAATTATACCAGTTCCAGTAACATCGAATCTTCCTGTGAAGATTCTGATACAGAAGCAACTATTGTACAGCAAACAACTGATAAAGTTTCCAGCTCCACCAAGCTAGAAGATTGCGCAGTGGTTATTATGCAGGATACTTAATTACAAGTGTTGAAGAAAAATTTGGGTGTAGAGAATGTTCCTCGCAATTAGAGAAGTCTGACGATTTATTAAATGATGATAACCAACTCTTAATCCTACATAAAAATTATGGTATCAGTACAAATATATATTTAACCGTACCCACTAAAGACGCCGAGAATTTAGTGAAGAGATCCATGGAAGTGTTTTTAAAAATGTTTACAAAAATAAGAGAACAAGAGTTTTTAGGGTCAAAAATTAAAAATTAAATTGCAGTCAAAAATATAAAATGGCTAGGAAGTAAGGATTCAAAATGTTACGAACACAAAATGTTTTTGATTTCTAAACTAGTCAACACGAATTTGTTTAAATTTTGTAAATGGGAGCGTCGCAAACGCAAAAATTTAAAACAAAAAATTAAAAATTTAAAACATAATTAATAAAACAAGGCAACGATGAAAAAAAAGTAGTACAAGAAAAATCTCCAAAATCTCTCTGATCTATTATACATTAGTATAATTCATAACCAAAAATTACATATTTTTGGCATTCTCCGACAAATTTTTAACCTAGGCCGTGTTCGTTTTTGTCATCTTTTTCATCGATTTGCTCCGAAATTTTGACAGGCACGTGATTTGTAAATTGAAACTGTCTGATCAAGTCACGTGCCTGTCAAAATTTCGGAGCAAATCGACGAAAAAGATGACAAAAACGAACACGGCCCTAGAAAGCTTCAGATGACATTACTTTGGCATTTTTGCACCAGGTTTAAACCTAGAATATGTCATTGCCTAAACTATTCTGGAATGTTTGTTTACATGTTTGCTGGGAAATTTTGTATGTTACACCGGGAGCTCAAATTGGGGCCAATAACTTTTGTACTACTTTTTTTTGATCGCAACGGTATGTACATACAGGTCCATGTCAAAATGCATTTAAATGAGGGATGTTTGAAACAAATACGCATTATATTCTACATAATGTCCTTGGTACATAAGTAGCTACGCTATAAATATTTAATTTTAGAAAATTGCACACAATTATATTTATTGATTTAACTCCATTTAGTATTATTTTCAATATTCGAATTAGTGAGTAGAGTGAATATTTTTATGTTAATTAGGATTATACCTACATATCGAGTCTTCAAAAAAAAAACAATCAAAGATTGCTATGGTTTTTAAACGTATGTCTTAGCAATATTTTTCTTCAATTTTGTCAATGAACTTTAATTTCAAATGTCATGTCAAAAATCCTGACCAATAAAAAAAACAATAATGCGACATACGTTTTCGTAATCAAAGCAATCTTTGATTGTTTTTTTTTTTGAAGAGCCGATACAAATAGTAGTCGTATAAAAAAAGTTGTCTGAAAATTTTGTATAAAGCTGTAAAGAATATTTTTAATTATACGATTTGATATGTGCCATCCCAAAAACAAAAAGTGTGTTTATTTACCTCTTCTCCCCCCTTTCTGTTACCTCTCGTCAAATAACATTTGTTTAACCATGAGGCATGAGGTGTGATTTTTTTTTCTAGTATAAGATCATTCTGCTAGAAAGGTCAAATTTCAAACATCCATATCTCAAAAACCAGTATAAGTTTAAATCATTAGTTGGAGATATCATAACTTTTAGAATTCCAGAGCGATCTCAAAAATAAAAATAGTGGAAATGTGGTCACAAAAAAAAATAAGCATGTTCTTGTGATGGGGGTTTTCATTTGATTATTTCCCTCCTGTCATTTTAAAGCAATCACAAATATGCATTTTAAATTCAAATATTTAATATTGTATTCAAGTGGGAAAATTCAAAAATTGTTGATAGGTCAAAAAAATGTTGGTTTTCTTGTAACTTGCAATGATAACCAGAAGGTAAGTTAATTTATTCATTGCTTTATTTAATATAAGAATTTTGAATTTTTGCTCTTAGATTCAAAATGTCTTGAGCGATTTTGTTCAAATTTTTAGTGTTTGCGATGTTCTCAAGCATCCTTCTAAAAAATCCGTTTGAGTTCCACTTTTCCAGGACCGGATCTAGAGTGACTCTTATTTTCTTAACAGAGTGGAGTGTATCGAACAACGAGATTTTCCAAACAATATATTGATTTTTATTTTTTATCTCGTAAACGTCGCATCGAACAAGAAAAACTCGGGATACCTTTTCCGTTTAAAATTAAACAAGGAATTTAAAAATAATTTTCAATTCGTAAAAAATCCCAGGGGCATGACACTTTTTTCTTAAAAAAAAAAAAGAGTCGCTCTAGGTCTAGTCCTGGAAAAATGAAACTCAAACGGATTTTTTGGAAAGACGCTTAAGAATATCGCAAAAAATCTCTGAAAGTTTCAGCAAAATCGCAAATCGCTCAAGGCATTTTAAATCTGAAGGTAGAAAGTCAAAATTTTCCGAAAATTTCAACACTATGTAATTTCTTAACAAGACGTTTGCTGACACATGTACCTACTTATGCAAAAAGAGATTGTCCTACTGTACTCTATCTATCATAACAAAATGCACACTTATTTCGGACTCACCCTGTATACCTTATAAAAATAATTGTTTTGCTGAGTCAGGAAATAATCTTACTAAATATCATACGTGCTCTAATTTTTCCTGCGGAAATATACTTACCTAAGAAACTAATTTTCAAGCAATTTATTTAGCAAAAAGGACTTACGTGAAAACCCTCGTCTTCAAATCGAGTTTTTAATAACGCTTAACGCTCATACTTTTTTCCAAACAAATAAGGACTCGTCAACTCGCCTTTTCAAATCTTCCCGGAAAAATAGGAAGCACGAATGATTTATAGATATTACCCCCGAAAAAATTCATGTTTGGTTGACACCTAATTTTTAACAGCTCTGTCCATACCTACGTAATGGCAAAAAACATTGGTAAAATTCTTAAAATTAGCGTAAAAAAATTTATTCCCATCACGCATGAAAAGGACACGAATACACTCACTGAATTTTATCAATAGATTTCGCTGTGAAATTATATTTGCAAGTTGCACATCTTATAATATTAGCTGGAAAATTGTTTCCTGAAAATATTTTTAAAATTTCACAATGTTTTGACTAAAAGAACTGCATCTGGCAACTCCGTTGAATCAATATGTGATTTATTTCAGCATTTTCAGCTACTCGGCCATAGATGGCGCTAAAATCAGTACTATCAAGGGCAGAATCAAGCTGTTTACGGCAGACGGCTTGATTTCGAGGCGCGTTTTTTTACCATTCATTCGGAATTCTGGGGACGGTAGGCTATTATATTCTTTGCTTCAGCTATTTAAATCAAGAAAAAAAATCTAATGACGGTTTTACACCAAACCGACTAGTTGATTTGCTGTTTTGTTGCTGTTTTGAAAAACAAAAACTCAACTGTTTTTAACGATAAAACTGTTCACACTAAACAGACGAAAATTAGTTGCTGTCGAGTTTTTATTTTCTGTCGTTTTACATCAGAGAAACGGTTGCAGTTTTGTTCAGTTCAATTCAGAAAGTAGATGGGTGTTCATTATGTTATAATATTTATTAAGTGTGAACAGTTTTATCGGTCAAAAAAGTTGAGCTTTTGTTTTTTGAAACAGCAACTCAACTAGTCGGTTTGGTGTAAAACCGCCATAAGATCTCTCGTGAAAACCGCAGTCCTATATTCAAAATAGTCTCTGAGAAAATTCCTTGTGAACATAAATTATGCAAGAACTTGTGCTGTCACAACTTCCGAAATCGCAGTCTTCTGTTCGTTCAGTCGTCAGTGAACCGTACCCTATACTTTGAGTGGTTGCAATTAAACCGCCCTAACTCGAAAACAGACCATCATAGGAAGATGCAGTTTAAATATTTATTCTTGGATTTTTTCGCACTAAAACTTTCATTTTTGAGTCACACCCCCTTTAATTAAAAAGTAACTAGACTAATGTGTGTTTCATTTTAATGAAATCTAGGTCACTCTACTGAAGGCCATTCATCTAGAGGAGACAGTCACCATAGGACACAATTCGGGATTCCCATAAGACGGTCCAACTACCCCCTTAGTAATCAAAACTGTACTGAGATGATGGAAGTGAGTAGTGGAGGTATATCACATGTATAGTACCGGTTAATCTATAGTACAATTTCTAATATATTATTATATTTTTGTAAGTGACGCTGGATTGGAATTGGTTGTTTGGCTTTGTTGAAATACAAGACGTATATGGCTGCAATACTGATCTTTTGGTTTTAGGGGAGGATAATATTATTATTAAATTTTTTCTGAAGCCTGAGGATCCTATAACAATAATAATAAATGTATATAATGACTGATATTGATTAATAACCACTCCAATAAATGTTTTTTCAATTTTTTAGATAGATATTAATATAATATTAGAAAATTTGGTCCTCCATTATGTCAAAGTTAGAACTAAATTTTTTAAAAATGGCATTCAAAATAATATGAAACAAACTATAAAACCCATAACCAATTCAGCTGTATACATTTAATTTTGTTACCGTATTTTATTATTATAATTTTGCTTCATTACAAATTGGTATTAAGATGGAGATATTTCTTAGAAGGATCGATTCTGCATGAAAATATTTGGGAAAGCAATGGTATATAGAGATTTTCAAGAATGAGACTCAATACTCAATGTGTCCAATTATTTATCAATGATATTGACCTCGTCCTTGAAAATAATACCTATCCATTCACTTTATGAAAATTGCATTTATTTCCAAAATAAATTAAGGGAATTCTTGCTTTAGTGAGGTCCGTTCTGGATTAATTTTGGATGCGAGTAGTATAGGTTGATTTAGAAATAAAATTCCCTTTCAAAAAAATATATGTTTCGTAAATGTTCTTGGTGCGATTGGGAATTCAATAAACACAGTCCTGAATGAACAAAAGCATGTGCCCTAAATTAACAAACCACATACCTATCTATAGGTATTTACAAAAACAATAAATAAGCAGTGAAATATCAGTTTAAGTTTGCTGACTTCCATGTGTTTGTAAATTTTTAAGACGAATCTATAGTAAATTTCTCCAATAATTTTTTGTTCACAAATTTTTGAGAAGTGGCTGATAACATATTATCTTTTTACGTATGTTTAGATTTATTTATTTCACAGTATAAAATATATATGAATAATCTTTTCTCATCTGCAGAATGAACAATCTTATTACGTATTTTTTCTGGCAAAACAAACATAACATAACAATTTCAATTTCTAGAGATTGTTTTGATGTGAAAATTCGAATCAATTTTATTGGATAGATTTTCTGTTTCGTTTTAAAAGATTTCCTAAGAACAAATAATTGTTTAGTTTTTGTGTGGGTGTTCCATGTGCTTTTTCTAAAACACTGTTGATTATCGCATCAAGTTTAGAACAATTTCACAATAGAAATACCTATATTTTTCAATAGAATCAATGTAAAATTTCTAAATAAACCCCAATTCCCAACCAAAATCAACTGCATTTCTAGTGCAAGAACCTCCCTGAAGAGATATCTCAATTTTAAACGCTTTACGGCTTCCACCGCGAAATAGCGGTCCTGCAACCGCGGAAAGCAACTCTGTGTAAAGATCGGTATAAGCGCAAAACTTTCAGCCGCGCATGAAATCCGATAAATTTTATTCTTATGTTTTTTTCTTACGAATTATATAATTGTTGTAAATGGCCAAATCGCCCAAATTATTATTAATTGAAACAGGTTTTAGTATGCAAGGTTCTCGTTTTGCAGTGGGGCCTCAAATCACAATTTTTTTTTCTATGGCCACACATGGCCAATATTTCTAGCTTTTTAGTGTCGGGTCGCTTCATGAAAAATTCACATTTGTTAAAACTGAAATTCTATATTTGCATTTATGTACTTCCCCTTGGAAGAGATATATTATTATACTTTTATTTTTTGTTTAGCAACACGTCACCTTCAAATATGAAAAAAGCCCTGTATAATCTCAGGAATTTTAAATAATTTTTTGGGCGATTCGATTTAAATGAGACGTTTCAACTAAACAGGAATTAAAAAGATATCCGCTTTTTTAATTTCTATATTGTGGGCTTATACCTAAACTTTTTACAATAATTGGGAAAATTAAATTATTAAGGTATTTGTTGCAGATAAAAATAAGTGTTGTTTTTTTTGGTTGTTGGCATTTTGTAAACATTGCTTGGTATTTGATATGTCATGGTGACATAAAGTTTACCTTACATATCTAGAACCTCTCTACATTATGGGGCCTATGCATTTAGCTAATTTTAGTATCAATTTTCATTGATCCAGCATGTCATATAGTACGAATAAGAAATTAAATGCATGTGACACTAATTTGGTAAATAATTGAAAAAAATAATTCCAAAGGTGTCAAAATATTGTAGTCAATAATAGGTTACCGTGAATGCCTCAATCTCTTAGGATATTAGAAAACGGCGACTTATACAAATGTAGACTTTTTGTAAGCTCCGTGCTTTTTTATTTTTTAAAAAGTAAGGAAAATAAACGCGCTTGAAACTTTCCGAGTGAATTATGCTATACTGCCATTATTTGCCATCAAAAATTAAGTGCTTGCAGCGAACAAATTTAATTTCTTTAAGCCACGTTTAACCAATAACCAACTTAACATAGCCTCGAAACAAGGACACTCCTTTTGGAGGTTGGCACTTAGAAAAAAAACTCCTTTTTGATTTTTACTCTTGAATATGGTAGGTTAAAGCGCTTAGTTAGTAGCATTGAATTTAAGTAGAAAAATTATTTGCCACTTTAACTTTCTCTTAAGTATATAACAAAAACGCTTAGAAACCTCTATGGTAGCACATGTATCTTTTCCGAAAGTATAAAAATATTTTTTCTACTTGAATTCATCATAATATATGGGTTTATACTTTCACCAAGTTTGGCTGAATCCTTTGATGCAATATCTCAGTGTCAACAAAAGTAACGCAGTATCTAAAAACTTTCAAAAAAGGTGACATAGAGAATTTGATGAAAAAAAATCACAGAAAATAACTAGGTAGAACTAAATAAGTATTTTAGGAATATTACTCTGATACATGAACAATACACCAAGCCTATAGTTTGGTTGCTGCCGGAAACGATACACTTACCAAGTTCATTTATAAGAGAACTAATATAATTTTGTTCTCTTTGTTTATATATTGCCTATGAATTTTAAAACCTAACAATTTTTCAGGAATGGGCTCTCACTAAAATGTAAATACGTAATTTGAGCATAAAATTTTAAACAAGGGACTATCTTGAGGTATAAAGAATTATTCCAATCAAAAATGTAGAAGCGTGCTGCAGCGGCAAAGCGCAAACAGCTGTTGCCACTCTTTAAAGGTTTGATCAATTAATTTAACTATTTTTCTTGGCATTTTCGATGCTAACCATCAGTGACAACCCTGTAGAATTTCCACTTGTGATGTATTAGGCATAAAGTGCGTGTTTTTTATTTAATTTCTCAAAAATTACTTTTTCAACAGTAAAGGTGCAGAAAATTCTATTTTCAGTTGTTTTATCCAATAAAGCCAAATTCAAAAATTAGTGAAAGAGCCGAGCCCATTCTACAAGAAAAAAACTCTTGTTATAAAATAAGAGGCATTCAAACCTTTGGTGAAAATTCTTTTTTGTGGGTTGATTATGCGTCTTTTTGTGAGCAATAAATCTGTGGCCTTGGCACTAACAACCAGATAATTAAATAAGATAAACAAAGATAATTGTTTTTATTTTTTCAACATTTTTTTTTATAACGGGTGTGCAATAATTATTAGCTTCGTAGTTGGCCGAGGTTCTCTTTTTCTAGCACAAACGTAGGTCTGTTGATAGGTTCATATGGTTTGATGGTGTAAGATTCTAGGAGAAAAAATGATAATCATATTGATTATGATAGGAGTATAACGATAACAATTATATTACAATTTGACAAAAATATTATTAAAAGTCAAAAACAAAATAGGGGAAAATGACAAATTAGGTTTACAGGGTTGTCAATTCCAATACAACCTAAGACTGGTGGCCCAACTTATCACTGTCACTGGTGCATGATTTCATGGATAACTCTGTTTTGGGTGTAGTATTAATAAAGTTCATTTATATTTTTCATTTATTTATATATTTAATGGTGTTGCCACGTAATACTGAACAGATGGGAACTGTAACTAAATGTCTTCTCTTATTTCTTGAATTTATTAGTTTTTAGTAAAAATGATGTAAAATCCACAAAAAACATTGCAGATCCTGATAATTGTGTAAGGGCGAACAAGAATCTTCTAAACAAGCCTTATATCAGTGAAACCTGTTGGATTTTTTGGCGGATTTTCGGATCTGGCTTGCCTCCTTTCTGAGGCTATCATCATAACTGTCATATATGTTTGCAATGTTAGCCAAGACATATGTATAGGGTAGTGGACAAGGTATAATTTCAATGGAATCGATGATCTATTCTTCATCTATGAAGTAAATAAAAAATATTCGTATCAAAAGAAATTTCAGATGAAATTACTAACTTTGTTTAAAACGGTCGTAAAAGTAGAGTTTTGGGACGCAGTATTTAAACGGAAATATTTCGCGCCTTGATTCTACGTCATAGCTGCTGTATTTGAGTATGAATTAAATCAAACCTACGTCCGATATTCGACATAAACTTACTCATTAGTGCAAAAAAGAGAGATATATCAGCGTCTGTCAGGTATCATTACATCTAGGCGCACCCTCAACATAACCCCACTTTTTGAGAGGTTTCCATTTGTCAATCAGTACGCACTGAGTTTATCGGCATCCTTTTCTAAAATCATGTAAAATATAAGGACGCGCTATCGCCACTCTTATTATTGTCGGAATGCCTTGACGCTATTGAACATAACAGCTATGACGTAATTTCCTGGCGGGAAATTATAGCGTTTAAAATATTTATGTATATGTTTATTTTGTTATGGAGATTAATAAAAAAAATATTTCAAAAAATTATCCACTACCCTATTGCGCTGCATAGGCGACCTGGACCTGAGCATTACAATGATTATTGAACACCCGTTACTTCCATATTTTTTCAAGCTATGTGTGCCTTTCTCTGTACTGTCTCCGATGCAATAACCTTATCATTAATAAACGGGGACACCACAATCATTCCAATGTAATCACCAAAAGATTATTTATTATTTAAGATCACCACAAGGTCCCTGACAATCATTACCCACCTTTCCACACAGTGTCTCTTATTTCCATTTTTTTTTCCTAGGTAAAAATTATTGAAAATAAATCTTTCTCTTATTAGATATTTTGTAGGTGGATTTAGGGAAGGCTAGACAAAAAACCCTGGGGTGCCCAAAAATGTTGGAAAATTATAATTTACATTAGTTTGGTTTCCTTACTTGTATTAAAATTTGAAAACTTCTGATTGTTGTCCCAAATCGTTCAAACAAGTAGCTTACAGACTTTGGTGTATATATATATATATATTCAAACCCATAATTGATTTACTGTGTAACAAATTCGTTAACAGAGAGTAATAGTACTATCCCTAGCAAGTTGACTTCTTCTCAAGAGAAAAATAGAACTTTTCACCAAAAGGTGTAAACCATTTTCTTTATAATAATAAACTTCTAAAAATTTCATCATACCGAGTGTCCCAAGAGAGTGGCTAACCCCTATATTTTTGTCTATTTTTAAAGATGAGCAAATGAAATTTGATATGTACATGGGTTACATAAATATGCGTTGTTTGACGTGACTTCACCGCTCCACAGGCTTTGCAAATCGTATTCATGCTCATAATTATTTATTATTTATTTTGGCATAAGAACAACGACCAGCCGGCCGGAGTTAATGGAAAAATAATATGGATTGGTTGGAAATTAACAAAAAACAATTTTTTGCGCCATGGTTAATCTGTCAGTTTGCCAAATAATTTCGTTTATTTATTGCCTTACCTCCCATTCCCAAATGAAACGATTATGGTTTCTCATTAGGCCCAAGTGCAATAGATTGTAAATAAATATTTTATAAACACTTATTATTCCAAAACCGCCAAACTCAGCAAAATTAGGTATTGCTGGCAATAGTTATTTGTGTATTAATTCGTCGCCTTCACCGCATAAGGGTGTATCTCAGAAATTATGAAAATCGAGTTAGGTCTACCAAAAATATTGTAATATCAGCCCCCATAGTTCCGCAAAGTGGCGTATCTCGATAACTAGTAATAGTAGTAATAGTATTACTAGTTATCAAGATACGCCACTTTGCGGAACTATGGGGGCTGATATTACAATATTTTCCGCAAAGTGGCGTATCTCGATAACTAGTAATAGCTCTCTTTCGGAAACTGTTGCTCCTATAGAGATGGCCGTGGTTTTAAATTATAGGAAATTTAGTCTACTTTAAAAATTCACTGATTAGTTATTCCGAAAAAACTAACCCTTCACGGTTAAAATCGGCAAAAATGTCGAAAATTCTGCGTTTTTCTAGACTTTTTACTAGGTTGCGTTCGGCCGTCGAGTTCGAAAACTTGGCTTATTTATTGGACCGACATCATAAACAACTCGGCAAAAAATCAGAACTACCGGATTTGACGCAAAGTCGAATGTATATGGTTACTGGATTACTGGTGTCAACACTCGCTAGCATCATTCTGTAAATATGCGCCCCGTTTTCCCAATCCAATTTTGCCTATAGATATTATATTGAATATTCGGTTACATTCCGCTATTGTGTAGTATCAAATAGTTTGTAAAAAAAAAACTATTTCCAGCTCTGGTAATGAGCCACCTTCATTCCATATGAAAAAAATTAGTAAAGACCGTCGGATTTTGCAAATTTTAAACGAGCCTGTAGAGGCTATAAAAAATAAAAATTAAATCACATAATTTTTTTCCGCGACGACTTGATCCAAAATTGCAGGATTGAAGGATTGGAGATCAAAATTCAAAAAGTTGAAAATGGGGTGTTCTTGTGTTCGGAATGCCATTTTCTATATCAAACTAAGCAAAAATAAACTGGAGTTAAGAAAAGCAGTTAGGGTCAAACCGGAAGTGACAGAAAACAACTGACTACATCAAACAATGCATATACAGGTCTGGCAAGTCAGCATTTTACAGGCCAATTTTAATGCAATAGAATGAGATGTATAGGAAAATTCTAAGGTTAAATAGAGAACGAAAACGATTTTCCCTGTTCCACCTCCATGCATGCAGCGTTGAGAACGCTGGAGGTGGAACAGGGGAAATCGTTTCCGTTCTTTATTCAACCTTACACTTTTTCTAGGCATTTCATTCTATTGCATTAAAATTGGCATGTAAGGTGTTCACTTGCCAGACCGGTATGTGACATACCTACATAACATACCAAATTTCATTTGTTTATATTTAAAAATAGAAAAAATATACCGAGGGGTGAGCCACCCTCTAAGTACACCCGGTATATGCCCATAAATAAAAATATTTTTTCTACTTGAATTCATTGAATTTAAACTTTTGCCAGGTATCGGCTAATTAATCAATCAAAACTGCTAGTCTAAGTGAAGAAACAGAGGATAAGTTACAACATGTGGATTCAGCTTCATATTTTCCTTGCACTCATACGTAGGTAGGTATCCTGTTATATAAAACAATTTTCCATATTTATGTTTTTGGGTTGAACTTTATATTGATAACAAATTATTAACATATGTACGTGTTAACACTTTTTATTATATTATTATTATCATTATTAATATTATTAATTATTATTATTACTTATTATTCTTATTATTATTAGTTGATTGATGTTTTGTGATTAGTAATTTTTTTCAAGAGGCTTCTTCAGTAAGTGTTCGTTTTACTATGTAAGACTTAAAAGACAGACGCATCTAGTGGTTTTGTGAATAGAATAAGAAGTGGAAAATAATAATGCGTGTGGTAGTTTATATTTTATCAACCCTCATTTTTTAACCCTGTGAACTTACTAACACAAATAATTGGAATTATTTTATTTATATTTTAAATTTCTGGAAAGGTGATTATACAACATTTATAGTAATTATAAATTTGAAAACCAGACTTATTAAAGAAAATCCTGAAATAATTTTAAAAATGTATACGTTATATTTTATTTTTTTCTGTAATTATTGAGAGCTACAAAAATAAGTCAGGGATAAAAACATGATGCATTCCAGGGGCGGATCACGTTGTCTTGAAAATTTGGCTACAAAAATTAATATCGTATCCTACACATATTCCTTTATTCCTATATAATAATAATTAGAAATGTAAGATTGTCTCAATTCGTGCATTATCGGCGAAGGTTAGTCCCATTTTTTTTTTTCTATATTCGCTACCTACTCCTTCCCGAAATAACCCGTGTTGCACCTCCACCCTCTCAAAAAAATCGCCAACTTGTACTCTTGCGCCTCCTCTGGCACAATCATCTGGATCCGCCGCTGATGCAGTGTTATAAAAAGTGAAAACATTACCCCAGGAGAATAACCGCTTGTGAATCAACTACTAAGATGAAATGCATAGATACTGAACTCTAATCATTTTTTTATTTCTGCTTAAGAACATCTCATTTTTATTGTTGTTTGAAATACCCCGCACAATAAATCGTACATTAATAAATTGTACGTTGTGCGTATAATTATGAGAGTTTTCCTATAAACGAGTTCATTATAAACATATGCACTAATAAGGTCATATTGTATATAGAATTAAAGTTGGAGCAATTCTATTTGGTTGCTTCAGGCAAGATTTCGTCTTCCTTAGGGTACGTAAAGTAGATAAGATGGGCCAATATAAAATTTTCTCCTATGGTAATATTTTCATTATGGTTAATATTTTAATGTTAAACGTGGGGGATGATGCAAATTATATTTATAGAAATACATAAAAATAAGACTTTCCCCTTGATAAAAAACGTGTCACCCCTCAGTTTATATATCCCAGTGAAACTAGTAAAAACTGTTGCTACTGAAACCTCTAGACTTTTTTTGCTGAACTATTGTTTGTTGATAGTGTTCGTAATTTAGAATAGTTATAAAATAATTATTGGTAATTAAGAAAAGTGCAATGGGTTTTTGACTCAACTTTGTGTGGGTCCAAAGCCTATCCGGTTTGCTATTTAAATTTTAATGATATTTTTTAAACATTAGGGCCAACATCTTTGTAACAAAAAAATAAAAATAATAAAAAATAAATAATTCGTTTTATTTTTATATTACATTCTGTAGATCATTTCTTTTTTTATAAAATCCTATTGCTATGCTGTCTTTTTCTTGAAAAACAAACCACTTTTTCTTATTCATTAAAAAAAAACGCTGTGTCTAGCCTCCCGGCACCGGTATTCATACGAATCCCGATTATGACGCGTTTTCGAAGACTCCATCAACGACCGCCGGGATTTATCGTGGATCCCGGCTATTGGGTTCAAAATTCGTGTTTCTCTTGCTGCTTGAGGCTGTGATTAATTCCGGAATAGCTTTTGTGTATTATTGTTTCTTGTTGTAATATTGGTATTAGAGTGGTAAGTACTTCGTTAATCCACTTTTCGTAGTAGTGGTTTAAAAAGGGAATAGTATGGTTTATTTTCATTCATTATTCAGGACTATAGCTTTTTTATCAGCCTGTATCTCTGAAATAGGGTACTCTTGGATCCATGTTTATAGGAATTTTTGCTCTTAATTTGAGATGTAGAATCCGCAGTTAAAATATTAACCTCTAATTTTGAGGCACCCTGTGTAATGTTGCTGAACATTAACGGCGTTGCTGTACAAGTTCAAATGCTGAACAAACTTTCAAAATGACCCTGTACCTACATATAATAAAAAGTCATAATTTAATTTTCCAATAATAAAAGCTAATCGCGCCCGACTTTGTTCACTTTTTTTACTCTTCATAATAAATCTGCCCCAATACCAATGAATATTATAATTATTAACATCTTGTATAACAATAGCCGGGATCCACGACAGTTACCGGTGGTTGTTGATGACGTCATTTAAAACGCGCCATAACCGGGATTCGTATGAATACCGATGCCCAGTGGCGTATTTACGATTTTCATCGGGGGGGGGGGGGGGCGACGTAACAATAAAAACAAGTAAAATGAATTATCTTTCTTTAGCGGGGGTCAAGGTTCTTCAAGGTAATAGGTTGTATGGTAATGGGTAACTTGATCACGCATCTGGGGTGCCTTATGGAGATTTGCATTATGTTGAGGCATATTGAACTAAACAAACACTCTAGAACGGGCGCACTGCTTTATGTTAGTGTGCCGAATTTTGATATATGCAACCCAGCAATACAGAGGGATTGCTATCTCGCTCGCACTCATTGCGATTAACGTAAAAGAAAGAAGAGGTTCTTCATCCTCCTAACCTCAATGATCCAAACACTTTAAACAGCTTTTCTCGATAGCCGCAATAGTGCCGAGAGAGATGCAAATCCCTCTTGTTTGTTGTCCTTCCTGGCACAAACCCTTACGTAGAACCAATTATGCAGCCACCGTTCCAGTGTGTTTGTTTAGTTCATTGTGTTGAGGCACCCCAGATGACGTCATCCAGTTATCCAGGCAACCCAAGGATGATACACGTTACTACTACCAGGATAGCCTATCCTCATTAAGCCTGTGTGGAACAAATCCCCCCTCGCCAAATCACCAGTTGTGACGTGCAGCATGTTATTTCTCGCCTTGACGTAGACTGCATAAATAGCTGACGACTTAGTGATTACGTCGGAAATGGTGACGCACCAATATGGCGGCGTTCACCAAAAACGAGGCCTATAAACAATCTTGTAGGTCTGTATCATCCTTCCAGGCAACCTACCTCTCTCAAATAACCTTGAGCGGGGGTAGTGAAATGAAAAATTGAAACGAAAAATTCCAACGGAAGTGACGACATCAATGTGACGGATCGAATGTACCTATTGATCCCCCCTTAGATTAGGGAAGGGAGTGGATGCGTAACAACTCAAGGGCATTTGTTAGCACCTGCCACATCGCCGATAATTTTCAATTTTCGATTTATTTTTATTTTAAGGTATTAATAATAAGAAATTTAATTTTACAGATTAATAAAAATACCTTATGAGGTGCTATTTAAATAGTTTTCTGCATTTTTAATTACTTTTCAGGACAATTTGATATTTAAAATAAAACATGACAAGACAGGATTTTTTTAAACAAATTTTATTAATACAAAAATATCCTATAGGATTTTCACGGTATATTTAGGATGACGTCACATTTAGTAAATTTCTGCTGCCAACCTAACAAAACTGAAAGTATTTTTTAACGCATTTAAAATAGGAGAATTTCAGATGTTTTTGGTTGGCAGCGGCGCGCGAAGTTGGACATTGCATGATTTATATAAACATTTTCAAATAACGCGTGTCGATTCATTTCGTTATTATTAACTGACAGTAGTCTGGATAATTTATTATTAACTATATTTTGTACAATCCTAATTATAAGGGCCAAAAATACGTTACAGTTAGAATTAGAAAGAAGTTCTTTCAAGAGTTCGGTACTTTTTCCTAGCGTGAACTTACTCCAAAAAATGCCTAAATGTTTGTCGAGTCGGTCTAATGAAATGGTAGCATACTTAATATCGTATTTCGAGCAGGAACGCGATAATGAAGGACCATTTTGCATCTTACTGCTGTGAGGGATGTAAGTAAGTAACCTATTTTCTGTTTCGTTTGACAGAATTTTCACATCACAATTTTGGTAAATAATAAGAAAAAAAATAAGCATTGACAACATTTTTTGTCCTTGTTCTATGACGTCATCCTAAATATAACGTGAAAAGCCTATACTTCCTTTTTCTCGCTGCGACTTTTGAATCCATAGGCTGAATAATTCACCATCGTAAAATTCTCTATTTTTCAATTCACTGCTGATTTTTACTGGAAAATCACGAAAAATACCAAACACTGCATTCGCTTTGTCTGCCACATAAACAATGGCGACATGGTAACAGAATCGAATCAGTGCGCCTATAGGATGCGCGGTATCCACTCTCTTTCCTAATCTAAGGATCCCCCTGTGTTTCTCTCTCTCTCACTCCTATTCCCTTTCTTTCATCAGACATTTCTGTCTCTGCTTTATCCTGGAGTGCGTTCAAAATCACCCTGGCACACCAGGGTTGTGTTCGAGAATCTGGCTATTGGTGTGAAAATTATTTCAATGAGGGAGGGTTGATTGAGGGTCCGACACATTTTTGTGTGTAAATCCTCTGGGTTTTGAAATGATGAACGAGTCGTTTATGGTTTGTTAATGTGCTTATTCAGTAACTTAAAATTATGAATACATTTCTGGGGGGGGGCCCAGGCCTCCTGAGCCCCCACCGTAAATACGCCGCTGCCGGTGCCGGGAGGCTAGACAAAGCGAAAAAAAAACATAAGAATGGATGGGTACACATACGAATGGGATGCCTGTGCAGTTCTTGTGGTTCTTAAATAACTTCTTTTATCGATAGGCTAACGACAAGTCGGCCACCTGGGGTTGTCCTATGTTCGAGAGATTGAAATGAATCGGTGAGTTAGATTTATTGATCATTTTCATTGCTCTTCTTCATTCTGCATCTAATAGAGCCAATGAACAGTATTCCATACATTGTCTGATTTGAGCCTTCTAAAGGACAAGAATTTGTTCAGAAGTAAAGAAGTTTTTTTGCACGAAACAAAAAAGATTTTTGAGAAGCGGTTTTGGCGATCGAAGATACATGGTCATGCCAAGATAAGTTGGTCGATGCGGTCACGTCACCTCAAGAAGAGATACTGAGGAATTGATAGAAAGGTTTTAATCCAACATCCTTAAAGCTGGGTTATCGGCGGAAGATTTCTTATTTGAGAATACTGTTGCTTGAGTTTTGGAAGCATTGATTTGACTAGTTTGTTAAGGCCCCCGTTGGTGAATGGTCTCAAGATCACTGTTCATAGAGTGAATATGATCTCGGGCAGAAGTGTTAGAAGAGAAAGATGACATCAAGCTACTATCGTCCGTAAAGCTGTACATGGTTTCTTGTCACAATAAACAAATCATTTTGAAAAATCAGAAACCGTGTTGGGGACCGAATTGAGCCTGGCTACTGAACGCCGGCATTTATGGGCAGTGTATCACACCACAACATACAGTGACCTGCCTTACAAACAGCTTTCCAGGAATTCCAGCAGTGATGGCTCGTGCCCCAAAAGTTACAAGAGCTTGGTGGAAGCCCCAAAACAATTCTATAAGGTTAAGGCAAGGAGTGCTTCGTTGCCAAATTGACGTCAAAGTATATTATTTTGTTTGGGTTAGATTTTCCTAAACAGGTGCGGACAATTGTTTATTGTTTAACGAGTGAAGAAAACAGTAGTTTTTAAAATATGTACCTAGGTAATGTTTTCAAGTTACAGAAAATGATTTTTGACGAGAATTGTTTATTTTTCAATGGTCAGAAAAATAGCTATTTTCCTAACGAGTGCGGGAAGAGAAATTTTCTTCACGAGGGTGCGAACTTGGGTTGCCTGGATAACTGGACGACGTCATCTGGGGTGCCTCAACACAATGAACTAAACAAACACACTGGAACGGTGGCTGCATAATTGGTTCTACGTAAGGCTTTGTGCCAGGAAGGACAACAAACAAGAGGGATTTGCATCTCTCTCGGCACTATGGCGGCTATCGAGAACAGCTAGCTGTTTAAAGTGTTTGGATCATTGAGGTTAGGAGGATGAAGAAGCTCTTCTTTCTTTTACGTTAATCGCAATGAGTGCGAGCGAGATAGCAATCCCTCTGTATTGCTGGGTTGCATATATCAAAATTCGGCACACTAACTGTAAGGAATGTACGTCCATTGAATGCATTGTGAAATGTCATTGGTATCTGGTGGCGGGAGGCATCTAAACATTCCGGTATAGGATTCGGCACCTAGGCATATTTCATTGGTCCGTTTGAATTCGGACCGCCAATTGATGCGGAGTGCCGAAATCGATACTTGAATGTTGAACGGTGCTGAGCCTCAGGTCGGAATGGTATAATACTATGTGGAGTGCCGAATCTAAGGTCAAAATGTTAAACAGTGCTGAGTATCAGGTCCGAATGTTGCCATGCGTTTGGCGCGGTTTTTATAATAAATCAGCTGTCCACCTCCTTCGTGTTCCTCTAGCTACAATTTTGCGGCGGATGCGGTTTATTTCGCCGTTGCTTCATGT